TTTTATCAACGGTTTTATCTATTAGAAACTAATCACAAAAATGGTATATTAACTATGTTGAATCAACTTCATCAGGTTAGCTTCGGATTAAAAATACTTTTCTAAATGTTTTAGATATAATCTACTCATTTAAAGTGAACTTAAAAAGCACTTTAAAGCTTCATATTTGACTTTAAAATTTTAGAATCTTACGGTTTCAAAGCAATTTTACTGCTAAAGTTTTGCTATGGCCTTTAACAGCACTTTTCTTATAAGCGTAATATTTTTTCTGCTACTTAGTATAGTTACAATCTATCTTTTACTAAAAAAGTATCTGTATGTTAATATAGATAATTATCTGTTATTATCTATGATATTTTGTTCTTCTAGATTTATAATAAAAAAGAATTTAACATTAACAGCAGTTATAGTTGAAATCCATCTAGTATGTCACGTTAATTCGAAGTGACAATCAGAAGCAAACATGACTGCAGTTGAAGCTTGTTGACAGAACAACTACTTGAGCTTAGGACAGGTTTGCATATTTTTTCATCATGTTGATTTCATCCAAGCCTCGACTCAGAACTTTGATTATGTTGCCACAATTTATATCACACACGTTGCTGTCGCTGTCGCTGTTGCTGATGGTTAGTATGGTAAGTGTATCAAGAACAAATTATTCCCATAATGGGAATTTGATACCAGGTGCGATCCTCAAATGCCTTTACAGTCAAATGATTCACAAAAACTGATTGAAAAGTGTGTGAGATTTAATTTTTTTTCTCTCTTATTTTTGGTAAAAATTGAATTGATTTTTTAATGAAAAAAATTTATATATTTTTTGTGAAGAATAAAATAAGGTACTTAAAATATTGCTTAAGTAAATTATATCACATAGATACAATTATATACAACGCTACAAATAAATTAGTTAAAATATTTTATTATAATTACTTTAAAACCAAATAGATACTTACTTCGATATGAGCTATGCTTCACTTTAGTATGTATTTATTTTGAGATTTTTCTAGTTTTGTATCTGGTAGTTGTGACTTCTTCACAAAATTGGACTCGTATTAAAAAGCTGTAATCCAATATCTCAGCTTTACGTCGTGTGACCACATTTGCCGTTTTATGTACTCTGCAGCATATCAGTTTTTATTCTTACAAAGTATTTTTTTTTGTTCAGATTTGCGCATGCTTTAAGGATACTTAGCCCAAAGTTTTTGTGGATGCAGTTTATGCAAGTACGGTTAACCGTATCTCAACTAAGTTGCCAATGTCGGTATGGCACTTTTAATTTTTTAAGCCACAAAGGCGCATTCGAATCGAAATTTAATATCTAAACTAAAACAATATTATACATAATATTTTATTTTTTTTATGTGGTAGTACATACGAATTTATCACTCAATACTCAAGAAAAAAAGATCTAAACATTTTCTATAAAAACGAATAATTTTAAAAGAAATGCAAAAAGCGTAAATAAACATATACATATACATTTTGTGGGGATATTATTAGTAATACTAACCAATACTATCTACCATACTAGTCTTCGATTCATTAAGATAGTACTATAACAGTGGAACTATTTTGCATACAGCACCTCCATAGTAATCGTACTGTTTTTTTTATTTTAATAACTTTAATAACAAGTTCAAATACTTTGAAGTAGTGTCCGAATTATTGTCACCAAAAATTTAGAATCATTAATTACTCCAAACTAATCGCAATTTTGCACCTAATCCTACTCCTACTGTAGTTATCATATCTTCTCTTGTCTTACTTGGTATTACTGCAGTCTATGTCAGTACACAGTTTTATTATATTAACTTCCTTACCTGATTTATAATTAAATATCTTTCTGAAAAGCACAAAACTCTTGAAGTGGTGTTTGTTCTTTCACATTTATTTTAATGAGTCTCTCTTTCACTTTAAAATCGAACTTATTATCACCAAGTCTATAATTAGTTCGATATCACAGCACTTTTGCGCGTACTCTAACTCGTTCTCTATCTACAGTCTTTACCCTTGTTTTGTTGTAGAACTGAAAAACTATTTCGCATACACCACTACTAAGCTCTGCTTACTAAATTTAAATTTTAAACTGCTTTCTGTAACCATAAACTTACCCATATTTTGTTTACTTTCCATGCATTCTAATTTAGATGATTTAAATTTGATAAATACTAAACCTATTGATGTCTATTTTTTACGTTTGATCACTGAAATCAAAACCTTCAAAGTGAGAATACCAAATCTTCCTCTTTTTTGGTCGTGATGTAGAGATCCACAACAATTAACTACCACATATTCTATTAGATCGCTCGAATTGCTCAAATTGCTCACAACCTTCTTCTCTTTCTTACGCATTGTCTTTGCTATTTAACATATGCTTTTTAAGTTTGTTAAATACTTGATCTATTGCCCTCTACTATCTTTCCTTCATTACTGGAATTAAATATCGCTGTTATAATGCTAAGGTTTCTCTCCCATTAGTCGTGATCTAGAGTTCTATTTAGGTTGACTACCATATCTCCTGTAAAGTTGTTTATATTGCTCAGGGTATACGATGAGGACGTGAAAGTATAAATATTGAGTGTGGTACGATGACTAACATATCTCCTGTAAGGTTGTTTGTATTGCTCAGGCTGTGTACAATGAGGACTATAACTATAACTACATACTTAACCACAACTATCATTTGTCCTCTTGACTTGAATATTTGCTTCCGCAAATTTAAAGCCCGTTATGTTTTTTGATTTTATTTTTGCTGTTATGAAATCTTAGGTTGCTTGAGTCATCTAGGGCAGCGTTTTTCAAACACCATTTTGTGACACTAGTGGTATTGATTCGTTAAATATTTTATTTTCGCCTTACGTTTTCATAGTATTTTTCAGGAAAATTTTGAATATGGTTCTTGCAAAACACATTGAATATTTTACTAAACCACAGCACATTTAGCAGTCTCTATATAATTGAAGTCAATAAATAACGAGATATATGACGAAAAACCACTACCACTTTTGAGGGGTTTATTGTTGTTTTGAGATTTGGGCTTTCATATTCTACGATGCGATTTAATCCATTTTTTGGTCGAATTACAGAATTGTGATGGTCTTCTATATTGAACATAGTCAAACGACTGACATAAAGTATTAACTATCTTCTCCAAGAGGTTTATTGTTATTCTTAGAGATGGAGCTTTCATATTGTACATCATGGTTTGGTCGAACATTTTCTTTTCCGGCCGTGTCTTAGGAATAAGATGGCTTTCAATATTCAACACAGTCAATCGTCTGACTAAAAGCTTTTACTACCTACTTCAAGAATTTTATTGTTATTCTAATGATATGGGTCTTTTCATATTGTAAGTTGTGGTTTAGTCAAGAGTTTCTGTTTTCCGATCGAATCTCAGAAGTGTCATGGTCTCCTGTATTCAACATATGCAATCTGCTGACTTAAAGTACTAACTATTTGAACTATATAGTTCTAAGTTTAGCTATTTTGAAGAAAAGCAAAACTAAATTGCTTATACGAGTACATATACAAGTACATACATATACGTATGTTATGTGCATAAAATTGGTTTAATATTTTTATTTTTAATTATATATCAATCATAACATAAATATCTGCACTTTATAAATGAATTTCAACATTTTAATATAACCACAAAAATAAAAAAATATCAAATAACCGAAGTTTGTTTGCTTTGGTAGCTGGAATTGTACGATGCAACCAAGTATCCATTATCATAAAAATGGCACCGATCGATCGATACTCTTTGCCAAGCAAGTTGTTCATGCTAGACAACTCATAAGCACAGATACATTGTCATCCATGTACTTATAAACTGAAAAGCATAAATGGCAAATGCGCTCATTGGTGGAACGTGATTTGCCGGCACCGAATAGTTCAATTGAGTTCAGTTCGGAAATATAATGCTGGCACCAGATACGACTAATAAACAATGTACGAGTATCTACACATTAAAGCATTTAAAGCAGTGCGAACGAGTTGGGGTGTACATTCGAGTGGTGGGGGTTGTGTGTTTGAAGACTTGTTCTGCACCACATCCAAACACATATACCAATTTATATATGAAGAAAAACAATCTAAAATAAAAAATGAAAATAGAAAACAAACCACGAAAAAACCGTTTCATTTGAGAAAACAAAAGTAAACGAACGAATAGACTGCACTGAATGACTGAATGACTGAATAACTGAATGAGAAGAGACAAGAAGAGTGAGTAACGCTGCGGAACAAAACAGGCGATCAATGGCTAATGTAGTCACCGTACAAGTATGCCCAGCAAGTCACTCACAATCGGTTTGCACTCATCAAAGTATCTGATGTCTGCCTCGTAATGCGATGATATTGGGTGACAACTAAAAACTACTGTAAATGCGAGCAGGCATAATCTCGGGGGTAGCTCAGTTGCCAGTGCCGGTGCCGGTACTTGCACTGGTGCTGGTGCTGGTGCTGTTGCTGTTGCTGTTGCCAATATTAGTAGTTGTGTAGTGTTAACTTTGCAAGTGGTGGCAGGGGAGGGTCTTGCCGTATTTATTTTTTCAATGTTTTTATTTTTAAAAGGCCACCACATATTCCTTTATAGCTTGTTTGTTAATTTTTTCACTGTGGTTGCTGCTTTGTCTTCTGTTCAGCGATTGAACGATTGTTTTTGAGGCGACTTGAGCTGCAATTAGTTGCTGTCTTCTGCTCATCGCTGCAAGTCGTTTCTCGAAATATATTTGCTCTATAAGAAATATCGGTGCCGGGGAATGATTTTTTCAATCAAATTGTTTAATTCTTAAAGAATAATTGAATTAAAGAAATATGTGCATTAGAAAAACATACGGTTATAAGTGAAATTTAAAATATATAATCAAATTTATAATATATTATATATAATACTAAAAATTTAATTTTAAACACAAATTTAATAAATAATAAATAAATAAATAAATAAATAGCTACTCTATACTACATACAATTTTTGGATTAACAGAACAATTTACAAACTAATTAGGACTCTAAGGATTAATATTTTTCTCTGGAACATGGTTACAATTATTTATGTTAAAAGGTAAATATGTTTTTTTTTATTTAATAGTAGCAGAAGGACATCTCAAGAGAATTTAATTAAAGAAAATGTGTGTTAGGTCAGGTATAAGAGTGAATCGGTAACGGATTCAACATAAACTACTCATAGGACCACTAGATATTCACATATTTTTATTATAAGGATGCTATCGTAAATCACTAGAAAAGGAAACCTTCTAGCGTTTTAGTTTTAATAGGAGTAAAGATTTCTGTCATATATCTATTGTTGATTTCACAGTTTACTGTATTTCTAAAACAATATATTTTTAAATTTTTTTTTATGAGGCTCTTGATACCAGTTTCTAATAGATTTTGGTTTCTTCGAGATTTTTCAAAAATCTCATGAGTTTCACATTTGAAAACTATTCATCGCCATCTAACATCAAACTGTTAAGTTCAAGACCTGCAAGACCTGCAAATCTTTTATTAAAACTGTGTATATGAGCAAAAAAAATTTTAAGAAGTTTTAAAAGAAAAAAGAAAAAAGAAAAAAAGAAAAAGTATTAAAATGAAAATTTGAAAAAAAGTCCTGGTTCAGCTATTTGTATGCAATTCAGCCAGAAAGTTCTATATCTTTAAAATATTTAAAAATTTATAAAAATTAATTTGATTTGATTTTTATTATAGATTTTTTACATTTATAAAAAAAATTGTAAAATAATTTAAAATGTTTCGAATATTATTTTTTTTTATTCAAAATTCACATACATATAAATATATATTAAACTTTAATTATATTTAAAGTATATACCAGATTTTTTTATATGATAAGTAAAAATATATTTCGTTATAATAAAAATAAACATAATAAAAATATATTTGGTTATAACAAAAATTTAAACTTTTGTTATTATATAAATATATTTTCTTGATTAGTCTTAGTCCGTGCATTTACTTTTATCTAATATTAATTTAAATAGAAAACTTATTTTAATATGATAAAAAATAAACACAACTCAATTCTGACAAAAAAAAAATCAAATTCAAAGTATCTAAAAAAAGATAATTTAATTATATATTTAATTTTAAAATTAATATTAAGTTCATTTGTTTAGTTCTAATATGATAAGTAATTATTATATTCAGAATTATAAGATTTTCGTTATTTTTTTACCTAAAACTTATTTATATGTTCTGTATTTTTTTTTTTGAGAAACTTCTTTTCTAGCTTTAGTGTTTTTAAATTGTTTTTATTAGTTATTTTTTTACATAATACTTTAATACTCATAAAGTTGATCAAGGGGCTTAGTTGGTAATTTAGAGGAATTAACTCAATATCGGGAGTGTTTATTTTTTCATTTTGTTAATGAATTGGGTCATTTATTTTATTATCTGATTTAATTACTTAATTAAATGGTTTTTAGGTGTTTCATATGTACAATATATAATTCCTAATCTTCCTTTTTATATACAATCTATTAAATTTTTTACAATAATAAAATATTTGAGGAAAACGGGTATGGATAATAAATTCATCTATATTATATAATTAAAATGAAATCAATTTTTTACGATTTTATTCACAGTTGATTAAAGAACACCTTTGTTCCTAAAGCAATATTATCTTAACATGAAATTATGTTTAATTTAACTCTTTTCATTTTAGAATAACATTTATTAAATTATAATATTAAATTATATTTTATATACTAATTGTTAAAAAGAAATATATCAGTTAAAGGCTTAATATAGTGAATAATGAGTCATCATAAGTATCGTCCTGCATCAGAGCATTTAAGTTAGTTCTCATGGTTAGAAAAAGAAATTATTGACTTTTATATATTTTTTTTGGAATATATATGAAATACACCTTATATGAGTTTTTTAACTTTCAAATCAATATATTGCGACTATATTTCACATAGTTCTCTTATGGTTGGAACTTTTTCTCGTTATTTTCGTAAAGAAAAACTCTTAATTTTTCAAAGTATTTTGTTGTATTTACTTTTTGTATCTGTGATATAGACAGACCGGCATACCGCGATTGTGGAAAGCTACTGGAAAATATAAACTATTACTAAATATATCATGGTATTAAAATTTCAGACATCAGACTATTCCAGTTCAATAAAAGCGAAATGCATGTTCATCTTCCTTTTGGTAAACAGTTACTGGACCCGTTATTCATTGTCAGATATTTTACTTTAGATTTCACAGATTTTGCGGGTGCCTGTATTCAAACATGCAACTGGGCAATTTAGAAAATTTTAGAATCTAGTTCTTAGACTTAGTTTAGAGTTTGAGAAGTACCATATATAGAAGTTGTCTTTTTCATTTATAAGAGGCTCTGTTCCAGCACGCTTACTTTTTTATTCTTTTCTATAATTAAATAAACAGTTTCAATTTCCTTTCTCCAATAATTATCTTCATTTTATTCTATTCTATACATATAACTACAATTAAATTGACCTGACGTGTTTATTCTTATTTAATAAATAATAAATGAGCTAACTAGAGAACTTTTACATATTCAGTAAAGATTATATATGGATTATAAATTATTACTTTTGATGCTTTAATTTAAGGAACAATTTATTAAAATTTAAGATTGCTTAAAAGAAAGTTATGTTTATTCTCAGAGATTCATTAAAAATCATCTGAACATTCTTTTTTCAAAAATAAAGGAATAATAGTTGAAAGTAAATCAGGGAATCAGGGAATATATGATATATATAATTAATAACTGTATGGTAAGAATTTTGGAACATTGTTATATAGTATATAAATAAACTAAAAAGTTAAAATCTACCATCAGTTATCAAATTTAACATAAAACTTATAAAAATTTAATATAAACTTGAAAGATGTAATAACATTAAGAATTTTAGAACGTTCCTCTAAGCGAACAATAATAGAAAATTCTATTAAATAAATGGCTTATATAAAGAATGTTTGAGATATAATTTCTGAATAAATTTTTATATTCTAATTAATAAGTATGTATAAGATGTTTCCTAATAATATCATATATAGGACTCTTTTTCTTTTCGACTTAACAGCTATGAAAATTATGTATGAATGTATGATGTATGTATGGTATTTAAAAATAATATTTTATTATTTTTACAATTATTTTTTAATTTTTTTTACTTAATTTTCCAAATATCTATATCTATATATTCATAAGATAACACGAAAAATGCATGCAAAAGAATTTTCTAACTATCACACACAGTTTTCGTTTAATCTATCTAACCCCTAAATTTCTGGTTTTCCTTAAAATTTTTGTATACAATGGACTTACTTACTAGACCGAACTGAGCAGCGCCTCTTGCTAGATGGGCTGTCACTGGTATTCATCATTGCTTAATGGAGCAAAAAAATCTATAATCAATTATGTATTTGATTTTTTAATTCTAAATGTTTTTAAATTTATTAGTTAATAATAATATTTTTTTTATGTTTATGTTATTAATATATATAAAAGATAAAATAAACTATTTATTTAAACAATATTACAATATAAACAATATTATATTTTAAATAATTCATATGAACAATCAGTCTCAAGTTTTATGAAGATCTTTTCAATATTGCTTATAACTATCATCTGACAAACCATTAAAATATAACATTGAAAATGTTAATATAAAGGTTTTCTAGAGAAATGCCCACCAAAACTTTTTCGACAATTCTTATTTTTTTCTCTTAAATGTTTTTTCTTTCATTGTTTTTTTTTTATGTAATCCCCATATAAAAAAAGTATTACTGATTTGTCTTTTACTTAGATTTACTTAAATTAATGTATTCAAGTACTCATATATGTGAGTACTTATACGTATATGTGCACTGACTACTTGCGTATGCAGAGTGAAAGGGTTTACTTTGTATTTAATATAAATACAATTTCAATTGAAGTTATTGTTATTTTGTTTTTTTTTATTTTTTATTTTTTCGTAATGATGTCGAGATATTTTTGTTTCATTCTTTCTAAATTAAATAAGTTCACGTAATAATTTAGATAGAATAATCAAGATACAGTTGAATTTATATGAAAATATGTTTTAATTGTATTCTTTATTTATATAAAGATAGAATACGAATATATTCTATGAAAAATATTTTATAAAAAAGGAGCCTAAGTGGTTCTTAAGATTCATTGACGTTTCATTGACTGAACTTTTTTAAAAACTTTGTTAACATCGTCCATCTGAGTTAATATTGTAAATCGATCCTTCATTTCTTTACGATTTTTTAGTACTTTGGAATAAAAAATCAATTATATTTAATCAATTTATTTAAGAAGTAAATAATAGTAGATATAAAAGACATCTAAAATAATTTATTGAAAATAAATTTAATTGCTTATAATGTTATAAAGTAGATTATCACTTTTGTACAATTTAATAAATATATATATAATAAATAAATATAGTAGAAGAGAACATTACTTGGTCTATCCATCACAATAATGACGAAAGCATTGACATTGAAACATTACTACGGCATCTAAATGGAGAGTATCGATAAAGTACTTACTGACCTATTTCTCCATTGTGTTGTATCATATACTTTTTTCTATTAATATAAATAAAAACAAAACAATTTTAGAATAGAAACTAAATGAATATATTTTTCAAATATTGAGTTCTTTCATTTTTTAGGTGCTCTTTATACACACAAAATGAAACGTAGAAAAAATAGAACAAAGAAAATCAAACAAGTGCGTCCTGGTACAGAAGTCATGTCATGGGATTGCTTCATAAAGGTTCCAAACTCTTGAAAATAATTCTGGGTAAGTTTAACAAAATTAATAATTATTATATTAATTTGAAAACATTAGTTTCACATTTTATATCAATTCAATGTCTCTTAATAGAAGCGTATAGTTTTTATTCTATATTATACATAATTATATATCGATATATAATTTTCAAAGGAGTACTCGTAACACAAATAAAGTCAAAAATATGAATAAAAGACAGGTATTGCAATCTTTTCACTAAAAAAACCTTTCCATTTGTTATTTAATATAAATAAGTCAAAATATTTACTTCACATGCAGACTCTTTTGTTAAAATTATTATTGGAATTTGTTTGTCGCCATTTTTGTGCAGCATGAAACAGCAATATTTTAAATGTGTGTGTAAGGAAAAAAGATGGATGCTGCTTTGAACTCATATTGCCTAGTAATGTGTTTGCTGTGTGTGCAAGGGTGTGGTTTTTGGGTGGAGTTTACAACTACAGTGGGCAAAATACTAAATTAATTAATTTGCTATATAAGTTATAACAAAATTTTAATAATTAAATCTTGTGAATATATGTATATTCTTTATAAGTACAAAATTAATAGTTTTTATGGGAAAAATATAATATTCTTAGAAATTTATATTAAAAATTTGTGTTTTTGTTTATTTTATATTAGAACCTCCAAATTAATTTATAAATCAATTTCTTTATAATACATATTGTTATAGAACTAATGTATAAACATTCATTTTTAATATTATTTTGCTTTTATAAATAGCATAAATCATTTAAAATTACATACTTATTAAATTTTTACTTGAGATTATACAGAAAAAAAGTAGGCATTAGACGGTGACTTCATATCGTCTGTCTTGATAAGTTACTGGCTATAAACGAAAATAAGTATATAGTATAAATTAAAATTACAATTAAAACTAAAAATAATACAATAAAAGTAAAATAGCAAAGTAATTATAAATAACTTAAATTTTAAGAGACTGAACAATTTCAGGGAAAATAAAACCAGTATATGTATCCAAGACTCAGTGATGATAAATATTTAGTAATATTCAAAATAACTGTATAGTCAGCAAAAACTTTTATTAATTAATTAAAAATAATTGTTGTTGTAATACACAACTATCCAAAATTATTCTATTAGTTTTATAACATTAAAAATTAAATTAAAATAATTATCGTTATTTTTTTATATTTGATGAAGATTTAATATTTTAAAGACTTGAAGACTAAAAATCGCAACTACCAGTTTAATATATTTCAGGAAATATTAACAATTATACCACAAACATTTTAATTTTGCAAATAAATATCAATTCTAAACATAGCAGTTCCTTTATTATCGTCACCCATGTTTTAAGTGTAAAAATAAACAAAATAACAAAAATAAAAACTTGTACATAAAATATTATATTTTATTAATTTAATTAATGAATCTTTAAAATTAATTAATATAGTATGATCACAATTCAATAATCTTTTGTTATATTTATTTATCTACAGTTATGAAAATAAAAACATTCTTCTATTAAGTACATTCGAAAGTATGTCAACTCACCCTGTTTTTAATAGAAAAACATAGGTGGTTGCTTTTTACATAATTCGTATTCATATTTAATAATTTTCTTTTAAAAGCGTTTAATTAAAATTCCCCTTTTATTCATCATTACATAGATTCCCTGGAAGATCAAGAGGGTGGAGCTATGTATATATCGTGCGATGTCTCAAATGGTGGTCCTGTGGAACCAGAAACGGGATACGTTCCCAATAATCCATTATTCGGCTTGGCGTTGGATAGTCCACAGGTATTTTAAGCGAATCTTAAACAAGATAAAATTTATAGAGTTTGGAATAATTTTGTGGTAGATACTTTTAAGTAATTAAAATAAATTTGAAATAAGATGTGAAATGTGAAGTCAACAAATTAATAAATTACAAACATACGGGAAATTAATAATAATTAATATTTGATTAAGATTAAGGCATTAAGTAGATGCTTGAAGTAAAATGCACAATAAGTGAAATAATAGTAGTATATAATATTTTTTTAATATATAAAAGAAAAAAATTTATTTTTTCAATATATTTGAAAAAAAAAATTCTGAAAGAAATGTATTTTTCAAGATTAAATAGAATAATTGAAATATTTTCTGGTATCTCCTGGAAAATAAATAATTTGTAACATAATATATGGATTAGAGAGGTGATATTTGTGTTGTCAAATAACAGTAATTCAAAAAAATGTATTAATTACATGTTAAATAATAAAAATTTTAATAATTACGTGTATCTGGTTTAATAATAATAATTAACATTATTGAAAAAATATAAATAATTTCTTCAAATTAAACACAAATGCAATAATATTAATGATAAGAATTAAAATCCATAATTAAGTAAAGTTTCCTCCTACTCCTTTTCATTCAGTAGTAATTGCATATTTCTGGTGGTACAAAAATTCTTCTGTAAGTTTCATTTTATTCACCCTAAAAATAGGCAATTAAAATATATACCTGTGTAAATTAGTGGTTTCAAATTTCCACACGATATGAACTCATATAGATTTATAATTATTTTCAATTGATATACGTTGACATTAATTAATGTAATTTCATTTTGTGTTGTTGTTGTTTGAATATAAAAGACCTCGTCTCGATTTATTTAACTTTAAGTTACTATAATCCGAAATAAAACCTGGTATGAAAGCACTATTAAATTAATTTATGTGTATCCTTATAAATTTTTACCGGAGAATGAGAATATTTTTATATAACTGAATAAGCAAAATTTTTAGTTATTAAAATATTTAATTAATTCAAAATAAATTAAATTTTTTCTTTAATATAGCAAGAGTGTGCTGCATCCTGCGTCGGCTGTTTATCCTGCCAAGGTAGTACCGTCCTACCCATATCCTCATTAACATCTAACGATTTCGATTGTGGTTCCTGTTTCGATCCGACTACTAGTGTACTCGGATCAGCACAAAATAACTCTCAAGGCAATCTCATAGTTAATAGCAGTAGCAGTAATAGCTATTGGACAACTGATGAAATGGCTTCGACATTTCCAGGACTACCAACACTAGATATTGATCCATTACCGAGTCTTTTTCCCTTTTCACCGTGTGGTGCTTCCTATAATTTCTCAACAAATCCACATCAGGCTTCGCTCTCTTGTACTGTACATCCGCACCAAATGTTGATATCGCCTAATAGCCATCAGCAAGGCACAGTACAAAGTCAGCAGACATCGCACGGCAATGCATTCAGTTCCACAGCACAATCATGTTATTATGATCCAACAAGTGTTGCTACTGTTACAACAGGCACCGGTGGTACAACTCCTTGTGGTCAGCACATGAATGCAAATAACGCACCGCCAATGTATCCAAGCATGAGTGTCAATGTAAGCATGAATATGACTATGCATGGTTATGGCACAGATGCGGGAATGCCAATGCAATGCTCGCAGGTAAACACATTTTGAAAACAATTAATAAAATATTTAACCTTAACAAAATGTATTTAATATCATTTTAGATGCAATGGACACCTCCAAATTCTTCATCGGCTGTTAATGTTTTATATCCACCACTGCTTAGCCCAACACATTATCCTGCTGCAGCCACATACTCTTTTACCGCAGATTTTCGTACACCCAATCTACAATCAAATCAAAATGCAACGAATGTGCTACCCAGTCTAACTGAAGCGCTAGAAAAAGAGTCGCCACCACTGAGCATAACACCAAAACCTTTCTTTACAAACACACAAATTGGTCAAAGTTATTCACCACCCGCAAAGAGTCCAGTGTACTCACAGGTATAACATTTAGTTAATTATTAATTTACGAGTATTAATAATAAATTTTATTAATTTTGAATACGTAGATACGTGACACAAAGTCTTTTGGCGCTGTTGTTGAGAACGAAGATGAAGACAGTAATGAGGAAGGCTCTGAATCAAAATCAAATCTCTGTCGTTTATGTGGTAAAACCTATGCGCGTCCAAGTACACTTAAAACCCATTTAAGGACACATTCCGGTGAACGACCTTATAGGTGCGTTTCTAAACACAGAATCTGTTTAAAAGGAATTTATAATAAAGTATTTTTTTTTTTTTTGCTAAGGTGTCCCGATTGCAATAAGAGCTTCTCACAGGCTGCCAATTTGACGGCACACGTACGCACACATACCGGACAGAAACCATTCCGTTGTCCTATTTGTGATAGACGTTTTTCACAAAGTTCCAGCGTCACCACGCACATGAGAACCCATTCAGGGGAACGTCCATATCGTTGCAATTCGTGCAAAAAATCCTTTTCGGACAGTTCAACACTAACCAAGCACTTACGTATACACAGTGGTGAGAAGCCATACCAATGCAAATTATGTTTACTCAGGTGAGTTGCTTGTTGGTGAAGATTTTGTGATTAAAAGGAAATTAACTATATATAAATATTTTAAATTAATTTAATAGTTTAATAAAAAGTAATTAACTTAAATTATCATTAAAATAATGTTTTGTGAGGTTATATAAATGTCAATCGTGAAAAATTTATATATAAATGAAATTTTTACATACTATTTTATATTGTCTAATAATTGAATATATAAAACCATTTACAGATTTTCACAATCAGGCAATTTAAATCGGCACATGCGCGTTCATGGCACCAACAATAATGGCAATAATTTAATCACATGACAAAAGCCACGCAGTGCAGGCGGTTTTCAACACTATCACCCCCATGCACATGCACACACCCACCACACTCATCCCACCCACCCTCACATAGGCAGCAGTAGCTACGATTACGGAAATTATGGCATCAGCGATTACACTTCACCCGGCACCCAAAATTATTCCGGGTACTATTTTTGCGCACTCAACAAACCAAAATTGGAGAGATTCTATTGAAGACGTGATATATAAGAACGAAATAATATGACAAATATTATTAAAAAATTATTCAATATTCTACAATATAAAATATATTTCACGTCATTTGTGCTAATAATCAATAATAAAAAATTAATTCAAATGTTTATAAAAATATGGAAAATTTATGAAAAAAGCAAAAGCAACAAATAATTTTGTTTAATGCTCAAATTCAATTTAAAATTACAACAAAAAAGGTTAAATGTATATAGTAAATTTAAGCGAAGAAATTTAATCAAATTTAAAATTAATTGATTTATTTAGTAACTTATTTTAAAATTTATTTTTAAGTATTTAATATTAATTAATTAAGTTAAGTGTTTATTCATGTTCAAAAAGAGATGCAAAACACGCATAAATATTTAAAAATTATGAAGCATTCCAGTAAAAAAATAATAATTGAGCTAATTTTAAAAAAAATTAATTAATTAGTAGAGAATAATAATATTATTTATATAAAAAATAGGTGCTTTGATTTAAGCCTTACAATCCATATTATACCCACCACATCCTGACACACCAATCAACATATCCTCCAACAGCCTTTATATAGAATTCAACCTCTCCAAGACTCTAGTCACTTTGTCTTTAACAAATATTTTTTTCTTAAAGTGCTTCAAATAATTTTTTATCTTAAAATAAAAAAATAAAATAAATAAAAAGTATATATAAATAAAATATTTATTCAAACTTATATTTCTATATTTAATTAATTATGTTTAGAAATTTTAATAATTTTTTTATATATATAAACTGACGTTTAGTAATATAATTAACTATTTTGATGTAGTAAATAGTAGAAAATAGTTGAAAACAGTATCTTTGACAGTGTTTTTGAAGTTCACTAAATTTTTGTATTATGTATTCTTCTTGATTCTTCTTCTTCTTGAGTTAGTGCTATTACGCACTTTTATGGTACTCTATAATGGCTGGGAAGCTTATCTCTACCCCACACTAGGCTTTAACTAGGATAAAAAAAAAACATATCATTTATTTATCTTTTAGTTGATGACGGAGCTTAAATCAGCATATCTTCCTGAGAGTCCAGAAGTGGACTTGAGGATTGTTAGGGCGGGGTTAATTAGCGTATCAACTTTAGTGAATAATTTTAGAGCTCTGTCTCTGATATATTTTTTCACTGAGTCAATCCTAAGATCTCTATGTATATATTACGTATTACACTGTAAGGGGAGATCTATTACCAAATCCTCCTAAAATGCTCCACTGTGAGCTAACGTGTTTAATATTAGCACTTATTATTATAATTATGGATAGTTTATTCGAGCTCATCAGCACATCTCTTTTTTATGAAACGATCTGATAGTGACTTACTGGGAAATGTGAGATGATATGTGTTTTCCGTTAAGTGTCTATTTGTTGTACCGAAATCCTATTATATTTAAAATTATTTGACACGGACGATCTTTAACCTGGTTAAGTGTTGAATTTAGAAGGTAGTCCATTATATCAAAGACTTAAGTGCTTTATACCTTTTTTAACTGTTGCAGTCTCTAGGTTTCTGTGAGGATTCGTATGCCAGATGAATCATCAAGCGTATACTATACCTCTCACTAGTTTGGTTGATAAAGATCCATATAATAAATTTAATCTTATGTTCTGATACATACTTAAGTGTCTTAAAAAAATTAAACTTATACATTGCAGCTCAGTAAACCAATATGTACCCTGATCTCAATTCAATTAGGATAATTCTTGCTGCACGAGGAAGGTGACTCTCTTCTTTAGAGATATCAATCGATGACCTACTGAATACTTTGTTGTTGTGCAACTGCGATCTGGATCTATATGGAAAGCTGTTACCTCTCGTTGGTTTTTGATTTCACTGATGTTGGGACTGTTACAAAAGGTTACGATTTATTCATATCACAAAAACAGATTTATCAGATCACAAATGCAACGTGAACGGAATGTTTTGCTGATCGCATTGAGATTGGGATGGTCAACAGTGCGGCATGCAAGTCAATACAGGAATTTTACAAAATTTTAACAATTTTAAGATACAAAAGTTACTTACTGTAAAAAAATTATTTTATAATCTTCCATAGAGAAAATTTTTAAATCCAACAAATAATTATTTACCACATACTTTTGAAATAAACAAGGGAATTAAAGTAAAATCAAGACAGTATTCATTCCTTCAAATGAATATTTTTCCCCTAAAGATTATGTTCACAACTTTCTTAAAAATTTAACAATTATGCGACTTTATTAATAACTTAATATATATAATTTATAATTTTAGAAATTAATGTTTCTGGTTCAGTAAATCATTTAGAGAATATTATCAATTAGGTAAATAGCTTCACTATCACTACTGCATATGATTTTTGATCCGTTCGAGTCGAATGAATTAATGGGTTTGCGTAAATCTGATATAAGTGCAGTAACACTTATTCGATTTTTGGCACGTTCACCACTTAACCAAGGATTTTCAGTTTCTTCTTTTTGCAAACCAATAAAACTAGGTATACTTGTTACCATATGTTGCGACCATAACCACATTTCACCATCTTCCGAAGCAGTAAAAAGCTTCGTTGGATCAGTATGATGGAAGGCAAGTTCTGTAATAGCACTTGTATGTGCACTTAGGTAAGATGCAGGAATGCCAGGTTGTCGCAAGTCCCATACGGTTATAGAACCTTCTTCTGAACCAGCCAGTACCACATGTTGCTGCGTTGGATGTGAACCTAAACATGTAACAGAATTTGAACGCTTATCATCTTCACTGGAGATCATGAATGATGGAAATTCAGTTGCTTTAGCTGCAGTACGCACATCAAATATACGTATGACACCCATACGGTTAGCAGTTAATACTTCTTGTGGATTTATATATGCAACAGCAGTAAGTGCACAACTATCTGCTTCAATTACACAACGTGGTTCCCGTAATGTGCTACAGTCAATAATATTGAGTCGACCATCCTCACCTACAGTTGCTGCATCTTTAGCATATATAGAGAGCCCAGTACATGGTGCCGCTTGGTCTGCTAAATCAAATTTATGTAATAGATTACTGCGTCCATCAATTTCCAGTACATCTTCCTCAACAGCACGTTTTATTTTAACCAAACTTAAGTGGCCTACATATATAGAAATAATAAAATTTATTCGTTCTTTTATGATAACATTTATATTTTACCATCAGTACAAGTTGTGGCTACTACATCATCCGTAACAAATTCCAAACCAGTTATGTCGCCTACAAAAGGTATTTTATCACTTGAACGTGGAACACAATCATTGAAGTTTTCTGGATACTCATTGCCTTGAAAGCGCCAAATACGCAAGAAATTTGTGGACATATCCCAAGTGCCGGTTAAAAAGCGGTTACTATCTTTTAATGTTTCTGGTATCCAACGTATTTTGGATATCTTTTCAGATATAAAATGTGCATTTACTATTGTATCCATTTTATATTAAAAATTATATTCTGTTAAATATATTTTAAGCGCTAAAAGATGTGATTTTCAGAATACAAATGTTTTTGGTTATATGTACAGCGGCGCTAACACTTCAAACAGCTGCTCGCGTTGCCAACTTATTACTTATATTCATTTTTTTTAAATATTTCCCAAATTTTATTTATTTTATTAGTATTGTATTATTATTATTCATAAAGCACTCAAATATGTTTAAATCAAATAATGTAAGTATGTTTTATATAATTAGTATGTTATATCGAACTATTTCGTGTATTTATTGATATGCAGTTTAATTTATATTTGGGTGTGAATACAACCATTTATTTTTTGGCGGGAATGTGTTTATTTTTGTATACATTTTATGTTTGAAGTGCATATTTGTAGTGCATAATTATTTACTTCATTTCTTATTGACAATTTATTGTTTGTGTTAAAAGACTGTACTATTAACTCATAAAATATAGCATCATGTCAAAAAGACTGAATTCAAAAAGTTTGGATAACGCTGCTTCTGATGTAAAGATTGCAATTATTAACAAACTATTAGTAACGCAAATAAGAAAAAAAATTGCTTAAGTGCGATTAGTAACCAGTCGGTGATGCCGATTGAGATAACAAATTAAATTGCTTACGTGCAAATTGCAATACATTTTCTGTTTTACTATAGGAAAACGTTGAAAATCCACCAAAAAGACGCAGTGCAAGATTGACAAGAAGTACCAAATCTATGGCAGACGGCACACCTTCACCAGAAAAAGTAGAGAAAAAATTGCCATTTATTAAATATAAAGGAAAAATAAAATACTTTACTGAAGGAAATGAAATTGCAGAAGCCTCTGATTTTGTCATGTAAATATATTAAATTTAATTTCATTTCAAAAGTTACTAATTACGTTTGTTTTCGCAGGCAATGGGTTGACAAACAAACACATTTAGAAGTGGTTCCACTGTCCTTTGATATGGAGTGGCCATTTTCATTCCAAACAGGACCGGGAAAATCGTCTGTTATACAAGTTTGTGTTGAAGAAAATTGCTGTTATGTGTTTCATTTGACTAATCTTAAAAAACTTCCAGCTGCTTTAATGGCTTTGTTGAAGCATCCCAAAGTTAGATTACATGGTGTGAACATAAAGAAGTAAAAATAATTATTTTGTTAATTTTTTTTTTGTGATATCTAAGTTTACCATAATTGTTAGTGACTTTCGGAAATTGGCACGAGATTTTCCTGAAGTGAATGCTGACATCCTAATTACGAAATGCGTAGATTTGGGATTGTGGTGCAATGAAGTTTGTGAAACTGGTGGCCGCTGGAGTCTTGAGCGTTTAGCAAATTATATTGTAAGTACAGTGTGCAACATAACATATGTACAATATAAGATTAATTCTAAGCAAAACTCTCTGAAAATACCTCTATTTTTAGGCTGAGAAGGCAATGGATAAAAGTAAAAAGGTACGCATGAGTAAATGGCATGTAATTCCGCTGGACGAGAATCAGTTAATGTACGCAGCTATCGACGTTTATGTAAGCCACAATTATTAATTATATATTTAACTAATAATATGTATATTATTTTATAATATATAAAATTTTGCAGATTGGACAAGTTATTTATCGAGAGTTGGAAAGACGTGAAAAAATTAAAAAAACCAATGAAGAAGAGTTTTTAAGGAAAAATGGAGAAACTGCATTTAAAGCGGTAAAGGCGTTAGGAGAGACATTCTTGAATACTGAAAATGAAATTAAAATTTAGTTATTCTTAAAACAATTAAATTTTATTTAATTATTTTACAGTTTTGTGTATTCCACTAAAACTTTTTGTAGACGAATTTTTTTGGGCTTCAGCCTCCTAGCGTAATTAGTTTACAATTTTTAACATATCGTCTAACCAATTTTATGTATTTACATTTTTTATTGACTTAATTGTTTAATCTATGTATTTTATATGTGAAAGTAAAAAATTTTTAATAATTAATATATGTACTTTAAAATATGTATCATGTTTTTTACTTTTGTAAATTGAATTGTTTTCAATACTTTGAGTTTATATTGTAATTAATATTAAAATCAATAAGATGCGTATATATTACAGACAAATAACTTTAGGTTTTAAGTTCCTGCTTACATTTTCATAATCCAACCACCAACCTCTGCTTTTATCACATCCTATCCCGTAATACTGTCCCATAATCCCCACATGTTACACGTTTTGTAAATTTAGATCATCGGCCTTCGGCCTGATATCGCTTGTAATTTTCTCCAAAGTACTTGATTGTCCATGTCTATCTGACGTTGCTGTTTTCTTCGATTAACTGCTGAACTTGTCATTCGAATACCAGGTGGTAAGTTGTTTATCTAGAATGTGTAAATTAAATATTAATTTAAATGAAATTGATTTGGTTAAAATAAGATCGTTACCTTAGGTTGTATGGGTTTGCTGTTACTGGTTGTGTATGTTGGCTTCTGAGTCAATATCTTTTTAAGTAATATATGGTTTTGACGTTCTATTTCTCGCATACGTTCATTTGTAAAGGTCCAGCTTTTACGATGTACCCTAAAATTGTAGGAAATGTGTAATTTTCGGTTATTAGTTTTCAAAGCAATACACCCTGATGGAGAATTCAAAAAGCTACTCATAAGTATACAAATGTTGATTATAAGCATTGTCTCCAATGTTAAAACTATGTGGACACCTAATATTAAGTACAGTATGTGAAGAAAGAAAAGTAGTGACAGAAGTAGAAAAGCTGAGCATAGTTGATTTAATAATACTTATAGTGTTTACACTTTAAGTCAGATAGTTCACTAGAGTTGTCTAAAGAGGTGAGGTAAACCCCATAGTTGTTCATAATGGAATATTACTTTCAAACCTCAACTGTCATAATTTTAACTATAATTTAATTTAGATTAAATAAAAGGCTCTGTTAGTGAAAACCGTTTTTGTTGTGTTTGGGGTGCTATTAGAAAATAGTCCGAGTTAGTGTAAAGGATTCTTTTCAATTCCTTTTGATGAAGAAAGAATATCAACACGATTCAAAGAGGTGTGTGTACGGAACATAAAGGACTTCAACTTAAATATAGCTGTGATTAGGATGTACATTCCGTATGAATATATTTAAAGTAACGAGTAATTAAGTAGCTATTTTCTGATCTCAATTGGGTACGAAAAGTTTTACCTGTAATGGAAACATATGTTTTTTTCTTATATGACGAATGCTTGTTCAGAAACCTGTTGAGAAACAAACTTAGTTTCGAAGAGGGCTTGGATTGGTATGGATTATAATTACCCTATGCTGATTTTTGACCTAATATTGTCTCAATTGCAATATATTTTGATTGATTTATTTTACTAAGAAAGATATCAACGGTTGCAATGTAAAGGGGGACGTCTACTGTTCGTGGCGAACGTTATGATCAAGATTTTGTGTTATAAGACACAATTTCAGCATTGGGTAGAGATTTGTTAAGATTGATAGCTTATGTATCCGAATCCCATTAAGATAATTATATCTACTATTCTAAAAAAAATTTCTAGTTATTTAGGTGTAAGTAAAATAAGTTAGGTTAGTTAGTATATATATAGATTTATCCATATCTCAAATATATTCTACAAATAAAGTTTCATACCTGACTTTATTGCTACATGAACTTCGTTTCAGAAATTCCAAATGAAAGGCATAATCTTCAGTATTGAAACTTGTTGGTGTATTACTAGTAATATGACACTCAAAATTGGAATCGTCTGTATCATTGATTGATTCAGTTTCGGTAATGACACTTAGTTCTCTATTTGTAGATTCAGTATCCCGTGAACTCTCTAAATTAACATTTATGTCTTCCTTTTCAGAATTCATTGTGGGAAGTTCTTTACTTTTAATAGTTAACTCAGTTGTCTGATGTTCATTTTTATCGGCGTTATTTAAAACGATCTGTGGTTTCATTGTATTTTCACTAACAACTGTTTCTTCTTGTAGCTCTATTTCATTCATTTTTAAATCATGTTTCACAGAGGTAGATAAATCTTCAATTTCTCGCTTTTCTTTATATAATTTATAATCAGTTTCTAATCTTGTTAGTTTTACTATATCAATAGATTCTGCTATCATTAAAGCGTTAGGAAATTCTTCTTCTAGTATTTGCATTGCTTCTACAGTATTCGTACTCTCAGCTGTGGTACGAGTACTTGCAGGTTCGGTATTGATTTCAGCAATTGTCTCACTAATAAAAACATCATCTTCATCGTCCGATGAACTTGTGTACCGCACTAGATCCGTATTGTCAAGACTATCATTGCCAATTATATGGTTCCTGGTGTAAGCATATAACTGCAAAGTAAAAAGAATAGATACTCTTATATATGATAGTAGATCTTGAAGTACAAAATAAAGAAAGGTAAGAAAGACATAACAATTTCTTTATGTACTAAGAATTGTTTGTTAGTTTAAGAGATATTATCGTGATATACAACCGTTCTCTCTAAGAATAAGAGTCTGTTCAACATAAAGACGGGCTGCTGTGCGTTACTCTTAGTGATTATATCATTTTATACTTTCAAGACGTGTTTTTTTTTACCTTGACATATATATAAATTACGATGTGTAGCTTCAGTCTTTAAGAATAAGAGACTGTTCAAACTTGAACATAATGATCAGGAGCTGTGCGCCACACTCACCGAAGGGGTACCATTCGTCGAAGGTTTTGCACTCATAATAGCATAACCCGAGTACATTAATCGGTTGTTTCAAACTGGTGTTTTTTAGCTTAATAAGAATAACTTTCTGTTCCCTTTTAGAATAAGAGGCTGTTGAAAAATGAATAAAATGCGTTAAGCTTAGCAAAAAGCTGTATGGAGACCTTTCAAATGAGAACAGAAATATGGGCCTGGACGCTTTTCTACAAGAAATAGACAGCATGGAAAGTCAATGAATAAGGGTTGCTTCCCGAAGTAATGTGAAAGCGGTACCGTGGGGAACAATCTTGAATATGCGGAGGAGGTGATAAAGAGGTCAACAAAACGAAACAAAAACTGTGTAAAAAAAAAATGTGTAACTTACAATAATTCAAATAGAGTACATTATTTGGTCAAGTTGGGGTTTCTTAACTTAATAGTTATCACAAATCCTCATGTGCAACGATGACGGCTCTAAGTAAGAGGCTGTACAAACTTAAATATAATAATTGATTTTTGTGGGTCTCTCAGGGAGAACGAATAACACGCACTATATCTTCACTAGATTACATGATTTTGTTCTTTTAAGCTGAACTGTTATTCCAATTGTCAATTGGGTCTTTCATTTTTCACATAAAATTAATTCAAAACTGAATAAAAATCAATTGTTTCATTTGCATTCGCATCCAGGCCTCCAATTGGAGTGTCGTCACCCTCATATACCCATATCCATATCCATATGTAATTAGGTAATTTAAGTTAATAATATTAATTTTATTTAAGAAAATATTTGCATTCTTATTTACCGCTTTGGTTTTGTTATTCTTTGAGAAACTCTCATCCTCGGAATCGGAAATTTCTGGTATGTCGGTGTCGCTGTCGTTTTCAAAGGATTCATTTGCGTAATTATCCTCATCCGAATATGGTACTGCATCAGCCATTATGAAAACTGTTTAAACGTGAAATTATTTAAATTAAATCCGTTGAATAAAATATTTTATTTATTTTCCGAATTTACAAGATTATACGACGTACGTCCACGCTGGTTGTTACTGGAGTTACACGTCATGTGCAACATTTTTGTTATTTGCCTTGGTAATGCATATTACGTATGCTCCACAAAATATCCTTAAGGGTTTATTAGTTTAAGGTGTTACCAATAAATTGTTTTGTTTCTATTATTTAATACAAATAGGCTTATTGATGTGTGCGTTAGATACTGCTAATGTGGATGTAAACCTACTCATGCATATATTTACATTGGCACTGGGTTTGCAGTTGGGCTTTGGCTCGTGACACTCTAAGTTCTGGCTGTCGATAGTTTTAATCCACAAAATGTCAAAATGTAACTGTTTATAGTCGATGTGCTCGTACAGGAAGTTCAGGAAATTTTTGTGTTAAGGATACATGTCCTCTGCGACTCGTACACTGAATTAGGCCGCACTGTTTTCGGCTCGATGTCAATCATGACAATCAGATTATTTTTGAACTATTTTTCTAATTTAAATTTAATTATTCATTGTATGGACACGAAAGCGTTAAATTTTGGCTAATACTGCTCGGAAGTCAATAGTTGCTAATGTTGCTAAGGCAACAAGTGTCGCATGCGTAGTAAGTGGCCAAGTCAGGAACCAAAAATGTAAACAAATTTTTATGAAGTAAGTTAAGAGTTCTAAGTACAAAAAATATAATATTTTATTTTTTACTCTTTGATATATGAATTTTATTATTAAATTTCAATAAAATTAAAACAAAAAAAATTAATTTTTATTTTATGAAGATTCAGTATTGATTGAAAATCCCCCAACCTCATGTATATTCTTATAGGCCAGGTAAATTGCAACCCATACCAAGAATCTCCTAACTCCTTCTCTCCTTCACTATAAAGGACCTTAAATTTGGTACAATTGAGCGCAATTTGGACGAATGAATTCAATGGTTTAAACATAGGGCAATTACTTTGTTAATGTCTTGAATGGTCATTAATTCTATTGACTGAGTTTATGGACGTTCTACTTTGATAGAAACTTAGACATACTAAAACAAGGACAAAATGATTAAATTGTAATTATTTAGCAAAATTGATGAGGTAAACAATTCAGCACACAAAATTGTGTCAATCAAAAATTGACTAAGAAAATTGGTTCCCTCAGAGGTTTACTAAATTTAGGCTAAGACGTGTAAATATAAATAAAACGAAACTTAAGTTTTGTT